AATATCTGGGTCTACGTTGCAGCTTGTTGACACACAACCCTTTGTCGTCCCTCTTCTTTGTGGGACACTCAAGGACAGGCAGTGGCCTCTTCCCCTTGTTCTACGGCTGACACACGTTTAGAGTGATGACAAACCACACTCAAGAGAGTCCCTTTCGGTGGGGCCCATCTTATCGTCAGTATTATGTCCTGCCTAGGACTCTGTAATTGGATGATACTTCCAACCTCTAAGGACAAACGAAGATAGGATGTATCAGGAGTCTGATAGTAAAAATCCATCCTAATAAAACTTCCCAAACACACCAAAGAGAACTCTTTGCTAAACCTCAACACCGGTTTGCTACAGTGATTGGAATGGAACCCCAAAATAAGTTTGGGGTCTCCCTGTCCAAAAGTCAGGGACTGTGCTCCGTCACCACAAATTGCAACTCAGGGAAGGAACGCACCTCCCCAGGGTGCTCTCGGATCGAGTCCTCACAGATGCCACGGCCGCAGCGCACCTGGGAGCCCAGTGCGCAGTCGTCGTATCTGGACGCGCACTGCGGTCCATAGGTATCCGGGGAGCAGCTACACCTGTTGGTTACAGGAGAAGCGGCTGTTAGGATTCGTGCTGGTGCTTAGCGCGGATGCGCCACATCATTCAAAAGGCAAATCGGTCATGTGACAGAAGCCAGCAAGGGAGAGGCGCAGTCTCAGAAGGAAACCGTTCTGCTGTGGTTATCTTTGCAGACCCAGCCATAAAGCTGAGATGGTGCAGGTTGTTCCAGCCCACCGGTGCACAGCAAAGACCGCAGTAAAACGAGTCGCACGCATCGTTGGGGTTTCCTGGTGCCTATGAAAATTATGTGTACAGTGCATTCTACTGTAGTCTATCACGTGTACAACAGCCAAATATTGTGACAAGTCCCAAATGTAACACACAAAACACCAAGTGAGCAGATGTGGTTAGAAAAATGGCCCCTAGAGCAGCATTACGTAGTAGCTCTCGTGGCATAGTGATTATGCACTGGGCTGCTAACCTCAAGGTCAGCAGTTCAAAAACACCAGCCAGCTTTGCGGGAGAAAGATAGGGCTTTCTACTTCTGTAAAGAATTAGTCTCACAAACTCACAAGGGCTATAAGGTGGGTATGGGTCAACATCGACTTGATGGCAATGAGCTTGAGTTTTGAGGGGCTTTTAAATAGATTTACTTTCTCCATGCAGGGTTGCCATAAACCTTCCCTTTGCAAAAAGCTGAAGCGTTAACAATGAAGCATGCCTCTACTGCGTTTGAAGAGCACACATTTACTATCCAAGCAAGAGTAGCACTGTGAATTCTTTTGCTACCATCAAACCGTACTTTCAAAGGTCGGAAATCTAAACACAGATGTCTTAAGAGAATCTTTTTTCTTTTTTAAAAAAAAATAGATCCAGGTCTGTTCATGAACATTTAAGAGTGTTTTCCGGTCAAGTCTGAAGGGGTGACACACCCTGGGCCCAAAGTCTACTTTCGGTTTTCCCTGGGCACCTCATTGCTGTGTTCCCTGGCTGTGTGGCACGCCCTTAGTGTGTAGCCCTGGTGAAGAGAATCTTTGAAAGTGATGGAACTAGGTCAAACAGGTCAAGAAAGGTCAGCAAGGGCATTCATTGTCCACCTAACTAGATTCCTGAGTTAGCCCAGGTGAAT